TTTTTGCGAGGGCTTATTTTAGGCCTGATTTTGCTGCTATCAGACGGGAAAAGTTTGCGCTCGATATTTTTGGTTTAAAGCGAAACTGAAACAAAAGAAATTCACTTTTGAATAGTATTCGGTAACCTCTACTTGGGAGATAAAAATCGGCCGATTTTATTTTTTAGCCGGAAATCATCGGTCGTTTCTTAGGCGCAGGGCCTCTTAAAAGGAGGAATTGACCTCGTGGAACGGTTATTTTTCGCGGGAAAAGCTTATCTAAAAATAAACTCACTTGTAAAAACGCCGTTACACGAATTTATGGCAGTTGAACGCTCCGGGTTATGGGCTCCTGCTCGAGGCGAATTACCTATGGAATAGGGTGTGTATGGGGTATGCCTTCTCTTTCCCCTTTATCCTCTCTTGGTTTAGGACATAACTAGACCTTCAGATTCGCAAATTGTTCTGCATAACTTGGAAGAAAATTTCTATCATAGAAGTATAGGGTCCTTCCCATAATGACAGGCTGACCAGCAGTGGAAAAACCAAGGGAAAATGGAACGCCAATGTTAAAGACAATTACTGACTGAAGAGAAAACAACGAAATTAAGGTCAAAACCTTTAGGAATGACATTCCGTTATTTGTTGTCGAGTTCGCTTCTTTAATCACATGCTTGACGTGGGCGCGCGGGCACCTAGCGTGGAGAATGAAGACGCTTCCAACCTTTTTTCTAGAACGAGGTGAAAATCAGCAAAGGCAGAGGCCGATTATAGTAATCGGCCCCGACGAAGGGAACACAACGAAAACGCGCGAAAAAGACTGGAGGTGACATCTAATGCTCAATTTGCCGCTTTTACAAGTCTGCACATCGGAGTCGTAATCACCACATTGTTGTCTTTAAAAGGCGCAAAAGTTTCACATAAATAACCAATAAAAGAAATAAAACGTCTAGGTGTTTTTAATTTGGAATGCAACACTGAATCCAATACAATAAGAAAAAAAGCAAAGAGTAGCCTTGGGGGAACACACTCAGCCAAACGCGCCACGACTTCCTGCTAACCCGCGACCCGGCTTTTCATTTAGATGTGGAAAAACTATGCATAGCTAGTGCAAAGGAATTCGTGAAAGGAAAAAAGAGTTTTAGTTTGTATCACATGTAAATGGCCAATATTTCAGTTAGCGAAAGGGCAAGCAAACAGAAACAGACACTCATAACAAGGTACAAACATTGTCATCAGGGTCGCTGAGCAACCCGCATGTCACAAAGCTAAAGAGACAGGGCGACGTAAAGAGATAGACACAAAGCTGTTTGTTTGCATTTTATTAACCGATCAGTTACACACAATTTTAAAACAGTTTTAAATGGATAATGGGTGATATCATAGTTTACTCCCCTCTTCAGTACAACTGAGAGAAAAAATTAAATATGAATTCCCCTGTACTACCCCTTCAAAAATTAATCGTTCCTCTGGAATTTTCCCTCCAGCTAGGTTTCAATTTGTTTCCTGTACTGTGGGTGCATATTTTTGTAGTATACTCGTATACTACAAAACTGGTAGCGTACGAGCCTTTCCGTAGAAAATGTCATGTGTTTAAGGCAGCACAAGCATTTTAAGCATTTCCTCTTCTTTTACAAAATATTACGTCTGGGGAAGGTGTAAGCTTGCTTGAACGAAGACTCCAGACGGTTCAATGGTCAGTCGTCCGGTAAGTTTCAAAGTCTTTATCTTTATCTTTAACCCCCCTACATATGAGAAGTTTTTAAAAGCTCTTATTTGTTGTGCTTTCATGAGGTGTGCAGATTTCGTGAACGGCCTTGAAATTTGCGTTTAATTTTGCGACCCCGGTCAGATTAGTGCACTAATATGACAGTCGAAGAGTGTTATAATTTGAAAAGCCGAAATTTACATGTAAGAGTTCAAACGATCGACTCTCAAGGTGGGTAATGTACCTCGAGGAAAGCCGTCAAATGACGATCGGGCAGGTGTCTAAATCTATTTCCCTTTAACAGTATGAACGAATCAAGCTTTATTAGCCCTATCCGGAGGTATGTGAAAGTGTTATTGATATCGCAAAGGATATGCATAATCCTTGTCAAGGGAAACTTTACGCTCGACCAATCATTTAAATTGAAATGAAGAAACTTTTGTGTTACGCACTAAACATAACGGTAAGTCTTCGGCGACGCAAAGACTGGGAAAGTGGAATGGATGCATGAATAGTTGGTATTCCATTGCTTCTGTTTAGTATGGTGCCGTGATATCTATGAACAAAACAAGTTTAGGCGGGTAAACAGAGTCATGTCGGACGTGTTGTGTCTTTGGGGTTACGAAACCAGAACTCTTATAGATGTTCTTCTTAGTTCATGTCAGGAAAACGAACTAAACTGACCTGAAGGGATACTTAGGCATCAAATTTCACTTCCTTGTTCTTTGTGTGTTATTGATATTGACAATATTAGGCCTGTTTCAGACGTCGTGCTACTGCCGTGCTAAGCTGGCTCGACTTTAGCACAACACTAGCACGACTTGGTTTTAGACGTCGAATTTAATTCAGTCGAATAGAAAGGTTGTTGCCGGAAACAAAACACAAAAATAAAGAAACGATTTAGCAAACTTTTAAATGTATTCTAATGTATGCATAATTTATGAATTGAGTTCGGCACGGTAGTAGCACGACTTGGTTTTAAACGCAACTCTACTGCCGTGCTAAAGTCGAACTTAATTCGTCGATCAGTTTAGTTCGGCACGGCAGTAGCACGACGTTTGAAACGGGCCTTACATGTACAAAACCAGGGCCGCACACAAAGGAGCTTCAAGTGATTTTAGAGAGGTGAAAAAAGTTAAAGAATATAGTGTATTATTATATGATTTCTCTTATGTTGTAAGAATGGTCTAAAGGCCTATAATTTGACTGATGACGGGACAGTTTTATATTTCTTGTGAATTTCGACACAATGGTAGAACAACTCTTTGAATTACAAGTGATTGGACTAGACAATTTCTGTCGTGTTTACGTCATGGATGGTATAGCCTTGAGTCAAATGCCGTGCTTGAATTGCGCCCATTGTGTTCGTAAATCTCTTATTTAATAAGCTCCGTGGAAACGGATGCAACATTGTTGGTTGTCATATGTTGCGTCCTTTTGCACACTCTGTTGCACGTTGTTGCGTGTTGTTGCGAGTTGTTGCGCAAAGTTTGACACCAGTAAAACTTTTGAGCAAACAACTCTGAAAATTTCTTTTGTTGTGATCGCCGAAGCGTAACCCAACAATGTTGGATCCGTAATGCATAGCTTTTCCAACATTGTTAGGGCCACTCACGCGCATTGAAGTCTTATGGTCTGTATCCTTCTCACGCCGATGCACTGCAGGTCCTAACATTGTTGGGAGCTGTTGCATCCGTTTGCACACCACTGCCAACACGAACGCAACAACTCACAACTTTGTTGGCCCAACAATATTGGCAGTTGTCTCGTTCTTGTGCAGGTAGCTTAATCTTTCTCAAAGTGAATCTGTGCCCGAACAAAGGGTACCTATTTGAGTCCCGTAATTTGGTCAAACTTGTGTCAAGAGAGGAGTCAAAGAGGCTAAATCTATACACGCTTTTAAGAATCAAAATTTTAGGCCTTCAAGATGTAACTACAGAGAGCTGTAAGAGTCTCAATGTGTCTAATAATAATAATAATTCCGTTATTTACCCTCGGCAGTATTTATAGCACTAATGCTGTGACGATAGGTTTTGCCTTTCCAAGCGCAAATCGGGGACAACAGCGTTGAGGGAATTTTGACGGCGTATGAAAAACAAGGAGGGGAACTAACTCAGTCTTCTGTACCTCGCTTGGTTAGCAAGACTGGAATTCGTCACTGTTCCATAGTACTGCGGATCTGCTACAACTGAAAACAAGACAGGACTCAAACTTGGACTTAAACAGTTTAATCTTCAGCTCGTGGACGTAAATCTCACAGGCACGTGAATCGAGAAACAGGGATAACAGTGCTCCATTTATACAGACCGATCAACTTATTACAACATCACAAAACAAATGGAAAGGAGGCTGAATAAAATCAGCTGAAAACTAAAAACTAATCTGGATAAATTGAGCTTTAAATTTCATATGCTAAACTAAATGACTCAAAATTAAATGTCAGTCAAGCAAATGAATTTCGTAAACGTATAAAGATTGAGCAGCCACCAAAGCTGTGGAAAAGAATTGGAGTTTCCTTTGCTCAGGATTCGAGTCCTTAAATTGTCAAAACTAAAAACGATTGGTATTTGAACAGGAGAAAGGTCCAGTTGTTCAGCCACTAAGCTGTATAAATATTTCTAGAAAATGCAATAGCTTGCAATTTTCGAGGAAACATTTAATATGTGTACATAAATTACTTAAGGTACACTGTTCCAATAATTATATACAGAAATAAACATTCCTGGTTATAATATCTGTACAGGCTTAAATCAAAAAACTTATTCAAAACGTTGAAATCCTATCTTTTTATAATTAAATGTGGATTCACGTGCCTTTAAATAAATTTAAAACCTAGTGAAATCCACATTTTCCCCCTAACTATGCTAGTGGGGCCGGGCAAATGCCTGAAACAAATAATTCAAATCAAACATAACAGGTTAGGAATCCCAACTCTTCTAGCTAAATTTACATTTGCGATTAGCAGGACTGCAAATTAATTTGATATCTTAGGCATCGTAATGTATCCTAGTTAAGTACAGTAAAGTGATTTTACCTAACCCGTGAAATAGGTAGTAGAATAATATGCACTATTATGTACTAATTCCATTGTCTTCTTCTGTTCACCAGTAGCTATTTTGCAGTAGTTGTTAGTATACACGGGTCAAGTAAAATCACCCTGTGTAACTTGGTGTGTAGTAAGTTAGGTGTCCACAGTTAGTTTACAACTGTGTAAAGTAAGTAACTATCATTATTATTATATTTTATGTGAATACTAATTTTCTTAACACAGGAGCTGTGGCAAGGAGTTCAGTTAAAGCTACAGGCGAAATGAATGTCACACCATCCTGTAAAGAAAACAATGGAGGACAATGAAACTGACAATGACTTTGAGGAGGACACTTTAAGAGGTGTATATAAACTGAATAAAACAATTTTAGTGTAGTAGTTGACGTTATAACATAGGTTTCAGTATTAATCGATATTTGGAGAACAAGTACAGAATTTTTCAGTTTGTTTAGTATCGTTCTTGGGAAGCCTGTGTAGCTAGCGGTTTGTTTGTAGTCGTAGCCTCTTCCAGGCGTTGAGATAGTGGAGTGCTGCGCAAAGTAAGAGAGCGGGAGACAAATAAGGAGATGAGGATGCGGGAGAGAAACTCTCACCCCCTTCCCCACCCCATCGCCATTTTTCCTGCGCACATCTCTTTGCCCCGTACCCCCCTGTAGAGCGCGCACTTTTTCCCCATTCCCCCGCGGCTTCTCCGCTCGTTCAGAGGCACGCTCCCCACTGAAAACCGCCAGCCACTCAGATTAGATTGACTACCATAACCTTGCCGCGTAAAACGTCTCTTAATAACCGGAAAGAATGAACAAGTTTGTCAGAAACTGTGAGTAAGGAAGGTAAGAACAGTTACAGTACGTTCCCGGTACGTGCTTCCTATCTCAGACAGTTGACCAGTCTTATTTCAAACACAGTAACGAACCTTGGTCGCGGGGTAGAGTTATACTAAGCCTTAACTAAAATATGGAATGGCACGTTTACTTTAACACTGACTATCCACCATCTGTTTGAAGTCTTATATCACTTGAACTCTCGATCATTTATACTTTTAATAAAAATAGTTCTAGGTTGTTGAATATGGCATCAGCCTACGCCCCCCCCCGTACGAACGCTGTACAGACTGTAAGGAAAGGGCAGGGGTCACTGTGCAAGTAAAGGGATTGACGAAGGAGTCCAAGACAGGCATCTTGCGTTTGTCTAGGCGAAAATTTAACCAGTTCAGTTCTTTTCTCAATCAACAACAATGAAATTTTTTTATCAATTAAAGGGGTAAGTTTGTAAAGAAACTGTGGTGTTGCGTCGGTAGAGAAGTAAAACTTACACAAAGACTTAGTTTTATCAACTGAGCTGATAATTAAAGCAAATCGGCAGCGTAGAAAGATCAAGATAAACTGGAGTTCAGAAGACGCGCAACAGAAGAAGGCGATTCAGGAACTACAAACCTAAAATCTTAATTTTGGCTGTAAGTAAACTTCAAACAAAAAGCGGGCTTATTAACCAGGGTCTTCACTGGCTCTTCACTACATTTTGTATGTCAGACAACATTTTCAGTTTAAATTAATCTCTGGCCTCCGCTACTTCAGTTACTAGCAAAACTTTGTATGTATTTTTGTTTCAGTAATTGCGGAGACTAGCAAAAATGCTGGCAATGATGCGTTTCATAAGGATGATTTTGTCAAAGCTATAAACTTGTACACAGAGGGAATTGAAGCGAAATGCAAGGATGAGGATCTGAATGCCAAATTGTATAACAACAGGGCATCAGCTCACTATCACTTGGGTAAATATCATATTCATGTTTACGCATTGTCAACATTGCACTAAATTCCGTATTCAACATTCCATTCTCTAATTTGCATCCCAGCCCTGATACACTTCTGGAATCTCTATGTAACTGTCTCTATTGCCCCATTGATGAATCAGGATAAAGTCTTAGGTGGGCGAACTTTTTAAAGCTTAAGAAAGTAACAGAGGGGGAAGGGGGGTGGGTTCTCGATAGACCTCTATAACATCGTCTCAAAGCAGATAGTGCCTGGTCTCTTGATTTACGTGTTCATTAATAGTTCAATTCACGCATGCATCTTCCCGTTCCGCCGATGTATACTGCGCTGCATTCGCAAGGAATCTTATAAAATACTCAATGTTGCTTCCTTGGGTTACTTAAAGATCCTTAGATCGCACAGAATGTTCAGTGTCGTGTCGAATATGAAGACAGCACGGGTGTACGCATCGTTTAAATGCAAGACAGGCACTGGCCCTCAATTAAGAGACCCCTAGATAAAGCATAAATTTTAAGTCCTGATTTTTCTTCGAGCTGACAGGGCAATTCTTTCTAATCTACTTGAGGATTATTCTTTTTAATTCACGAATAATAAGAAAACATTCTTGACAGAGATGTGATGGCGAACGTTGAGCCTGCTCGGTACCTTAGAAAGATGATTTGTCAATTAGTGACACAGGAAGCTCAGAGGGAAAAATCCGAGTACTCCCAATATTCCCTGTGTCACTGATGAAAATCATCTATCTCATGTATTAAACAGGCTCCAAATTCACCATCACATCTGTATCATTGCGCATAAGTACATATCAACATTCTTGACCTAGCAGTATGCAGGTTATTTGTCACTTGAACCTTGTTCGGTAGTGCCCTTACCTCCCACGAGTCTCTTGTAGCTTAGTGGTAGAGCATCTGGACTAGCAGACAGAAGGCCATAGCTTCGACTCCTATTGGGCCGCCTGTATGCGTCACTGATTGAAAAGTCATCTTTCTCAAAAAACTCTTTTTCGGAGAATTACCATGATTGTCTGAGTGACGTAAAAGCTGCGACAGCACTACAGCCGCCTTATCTCAAGGCGATTATCAGAGGTAAAATGAATCCCTGTAGAAAACCTGAATTTTTTTCTCCATTTAATCATTTCGAATGAGTCGCCTTTTTTTCCCTAGGGGCGAAGACCTGTTTAAAGTTGAAGCAGCTCGAAGAAGCCATCGTCTGGTGTGATAAAGGAATAACCGTATCCTTTCTGTTATCGTCTTCACAGACCTTGTTTTCCTCTTTTTTGACATCTTAGTGTGCGCGTACGAAAATAAAAACCGCAACGCACTGGATAAATTACTCAAAAAGAAGGAAGGAAAAAGCGTGTGCGGACATACTATCTTTAATTAGAAGCTCACATACAAATCCCTGACCGCACAGATTATTACCTCCTTTACTTTTACTAGGTCAATGTCTCTTTTTTTATGTTTTGGTAAATTAAGCTTGAATCGATAAAATTGGTTTAAATATTAAGTGAATTTTTGGTGTCGAGTTCTGACGTCCCACACAAAGAGTAGCGTACAAAACTGATTATCGAACCGTTTTAAAATACAGTTCAACTGATACTGCTGCTACTAAAACGTGTCATTCCTGCCACTGCCGTCAGCCTAGTTTAAGGTAAAAGCAGATTATTTTCTATTCCCTTAACTCTTGTAAGATTGACAAGTACAATAAGGATCTGTTGGAGATAAAGACTTGTTCTGTCATAGAACGCGAAAAGATTTTAACACAGGAAGGCGATAAAGCAGCAAAAGAGGAGAGTGATTCACAAACAAACCAAACATCTCTTGATTGTACAGGTAAGTGTTAAAACTCCAAACAGAAAGCGTACCTATAACGAGCGTCTTTATTTCAAGTGGTTCTACAATTTATCAGCCGCATCAGATGTTATGTTTTGTTCTCTGGCCTTGACTCATTAAAATACTGGCAGAACTCAAAACCGCTCTGTTTGTATTTTTATTTCAGCCATAGCAGAAACTCACAAAAATGCCGGCAATGATGCATTTAGTAAACATGATTTTGTCAAGGCTATTAACTTGTACACAGAGGCAATTGAAGAAAAATGCAAGGATAAGGATCTGAATGCCAAATTATACAACAACAGGGCATCAGCGCATTATCACTTGGGTAAAGTATCATTCATATTATATTAACTCAACGCATTGTCAAAACTGCATTTTGTTTCGTATCCAACATTCTATTGTCTATTCTGCATCTTTGCCCTTTTACGTAAAGACACTCCTGGAATCCCAATTCAACTGTCTCTCTTGGCCCTATTGATGTTATCAGGGTCGGTGAAGTCTTATGTCCTATTATCATCTCTTGGTTATGCGGACGACCTTGTTAAAGCCTAAGGGAGAAACAGTGGGGGAAGGGGGATGGGGTCTCTATAGGGAATTTTAACTTCATCTCCCAAAGAGCGTAGTGGTTGGTCTCATTTGCGTGTTCATTAATAGCTCAAGTCTGGAGTCCCTGAAAACCGTATGTCCGTTTTATGTGCCGTAATAGGTTCAATTTATGCACGCATCTTCCAGTTCCGCCAATTTATACTTCGCTGCATTCGCAATAAGGAATCTTATAAAATACTGACAATCTTGCTTCCTTGGGTTACTTAAGGATCCTAAGATCGCAAAAGTGTTGTCATTTCGAATATGAAGACAGCTCGGTTGTACCCATCCTTTAATTACAAAATAGGTACTGCCCCTAAATTAAGTGACCAGTGGATAAAATATGAATTTTAAGCGCTCACTTTTTCGAGTTAATAGGGTGCAATTCTTTCTGATCAACTCTAATTGAGGATTATTCTTTTTAATTTAATTAAGGGATAAAAATTCTTGATAGAGATGTGATAGTGAATTGTAAGCCTTGTAAATATATTGGAAAGATGATTTTTTAGTTAGTGAAACAGGCGGCTCGGAAGGAAGAATCCGAGTACTCTCAATACCTCCTGTGTCAAGGATCGTAAAACCATCTTTCTCATATATTCAACAGACTTCAAATTCACCATCACACCTCTATCATTGCGCATAAGCACGTATCAACATTCTTGACCTAGCAGTATGTGCCAGGGTAATTTGTCACTTGAACCTTGCCTTGGCTCCCACTAGTCTCTTGTAGCTTAGTGGTAGAGCATCCGGACTAGCAGCCTGAAGGTCGTAGCTTCGACTCCTATTGGGCCGCCTGTATGCGTCACTGATTGAAAAGTCATCTTTCTCAAAAAACTCTTTTTCAGAGAATTACCATGATTGTCTGAGTGACGTAGAAGCTGCGACAGCACTACAGCCATCTTATCTCAAGGCGATTATCAGAGGTGAAAAAGAATCTCAGTAGAACACCTGAATCTTAAAATTTCCTCCATTAAATCATTTCAAATGAGTCGAATTTTTTTCACTAGGGGCGAACACCTGTTTAAAGTTGAAGAAGTTTGAAGAAGCCATCATCTGGTGCGACAAAGGATTAGACGTATCCTTTCTTTATCCTGTTCAGAGACATTCTATTTTCTCTTTTGAGATCTTGTGCGCGTACGAAAATAGAAACTGTGGGGGATTTATTAAGCCGTAACGCACTGGATAAATTACTCAAACCAAAAGAAAGGAAAAAAATTGTGTGGACAGGCTATCTTTTCTTAGAGGAGTAAATACAATCGCTGACCGGGCAAATTGTTACGTCGCAATCCTTTATTTTACTAGGTCAATATCTCTTAATACAGTCGGTTGGTTTGTTGGTGACGCGTCCTGACGTCTCACACAAAGAGTAGCCATTTATATACACGTACAAAACGGATTACCGATGAACCATTTCTCCAATTTCTGCTGCTGCTACTACCACTGCCGCCAGCCAAGATTACTATTATTTTCTACCCCCTTAACTCTTGTAAGATTGACAAGAACAACCAGGATCTGTTGGAGATAAAGACTTGTTCTTCCATAGAATGCGAACACATTTTAACACAGGAAGGTGATAAACCAGCAAAAGAGGAGAGCAATCCACCAACAAACCCAAGACCTCTTGATCGCACGAGTAAGTAAAATCCAAACAGAAAGCGCACTTGTAATCATGGCCACGGTCTTTACGTCAAGTGGATGTACAATTTGCCAGGCATCAAATGTTATGTTTTGATCTCTGGCTTTCACTCATTTATACTGGCGGAACTCAAAGCCACTCTGTTTGTATTTTTATTTCAACTATGGCAGAAACTCACAAAAATGCCGGCAATGATGCATTTCTTAAATGTGATTTTGTCAAGGCTATTAACTTGTACACAGAGGCAATTGAAGTAAAATGCAAGGATAAGGATCTGAATGCCAAATTATACAACAACAGGGCATCAGCGCATTTTCACTTGGGTAAAGTCTCATTCATATTATATTAACTCAACGCATTGTCAAAACTGCATTTTGTTTCGTATCCAACATTCTATTGTCTATTCTGCATCTTTGCCCTTTTTCAGTTCCGCCAATTTTTGCTTCGCTTTATTCGCAAGAAATCTTATAAAATACTCACAATCTTGCTTTCATGGGTCACTAAACTTTTCTTAGATCACATTAAGTGTTTCGTCGTGTCGGATTTGATAACACCTCGAGCGTACGCAAGGTTTACATAGAGTCTATAAAGTAGACGCTGTCCCCTCAGTTTGTGCGGATTATTCTTTTTAATGTGGGTGTAATAAAACTCTTTTTCAGGAAATTATCCAGATTGTCTAAGTGACGTAAAAGCTGCGACAGCACTACAGTCGTCTTACCTGAAGGCGATTATCCGAGGTGAAAATGAATCTCAGTTGAAAACTTGAATTTTTCCTGAAACAATTATTTTAAACGAGTCTACATGTACTTTTTTTTCATCAGGAGCAAACACCTGTTTAAAGTTGAAGCAGTTTGAAGAAGCCATCATCTGGTGTGATAAAGGACTTGCTGTATCCTTTCTTTAGCCTGTTCACAGACCTTCTATTTTCTCTTTTCAGATCTTCTAGTCTGCGTACAAAAAATAACCCCCACGTGGGATTTATTAATTCGTAATGCACTGGACAAATAACTAGTTCGCTAACGTACGTGTGGACAGGCTATCCTTTCTTAGAAGAGTAAATACAAAAACCCTGACCGCGTTATTAATATTTCAATTTTGCTACGTCAACGTTTTTTTTTTTAATTATTTTTCATCTTCGTTATCAGTATCCTTTCTTGGATCTGCTGTCAAAGTCTTTAACGGTTCTTATTTTTTCCAGGAGGCCCTATGTGGGTCTCTCGGATAACATGATCTAGGTCTTGATAACTGAAGACGGATAACTTCTGCCCGAGGTGTTTATAACTCAGACAACTCAAGACTAAGTAAGAAAATCAGTCTTGCGGGGCAAATTCGTTCCGGAAAAAATTCAGAGTTTGCAGTTTCAGCAAAAAATTAGCCTGGGACCAGGCTCCGAAGTGGGGGGAAAGGCAAAACACGAAGTGAAATGGGAAAAATAAATATCGGCTAGCGAAGTGCGTCAATGGGTGGGCCGGGGAGGGGGGACGGGCGGTGCCACAGCCACCCTTTCCCTACCCAGACTACCGCTGGGCTCGCTTCGCTCGCCGATTTTTTTCTCCTCTTCCCCCAATGCGGAGCCTGGTCCCAGGTTACAAGAGTTGGAAAAGCATAACAATAAAGAAACCGAGAAAAAAATGTCGTATAAACAGTGTATAGAAGCAATATTGCATTGTTTGCATACGGCTATATGATCGCCCGTTTTGCATTTATTTAGTAGCATGCTCGTTTCTCACTTCGACTCAGATGTTTTGTTTGAATGATGAAACTTAGCTGGTGCTCATAATAAGGGCCCGTTTAAAGGATAATGTTACACAAAATCCCACTTCTCACAAATTCACGAACAACAAAAATACTTGAAATGAAGACGCCTCAACGATTCCTCCCGGCTGGCGAATCCGGCGCTCTCGGAACCATTCAGGTTTCAAGGATTTGGAAATTTTTCTCGCTTTGACAAATAGCCATGTGGGGCTTGTTTTTTTCACATCTATTCACTCAGTGTTTTTAAGGGGTGATTCTTGTTACAAACCTTGTTTCTCGTCTATTTCAAAATATTTTCTTCTAAATCTGATCAAGATTGCATCCAATCAAAAAGTGGCTCCATAATTAAAAGGTTGGCATTTTTGGATGATTTCTTGACCGTTTTCAAAGAATAAAAGTGGGGGATGTAAAATTGGAAAATACTGGATGTAACATATCAAGCATGACATGCAGTGTTTCATCACCAGATGAAACGCCGAGAAGAGAGTTAAAAATACGACGCGCAGCAGAGTATTTTTGACGAACTTCGAGGTGTTTCATCAGATGATGAAACACTGTGTCGAATGCCTGATATTGCTTCTCAAACAAAATGATTTTAGAAAGAGAAATCAAGGATGCAAAAAAGAACAGTTTTTCATTTTATTTCCAAACACTCGTTAAACATCATTTTCTTTTGCATTTTCATTATGAATTATTCATGAGTTTGAGAAATGAGGATATGAAGGAAGTAATGAGCAGGCAAATACAAGATGGTCCACCATCACCACAAGGTTCCCCTGAGCTCATTAGTGGATCAACTGGTTTACGTTTATACCGTTTTCTACTCGTAATTCTTTCATTCCTAAATCAACCCCATTCCCACCAAAGAAAAGAAACAGCTGGAATCCATACATATCCATATCGTTTACCAAGACCATTGTAGGATACTTTCTAAAACCTGTTTATCGAACTTGACAGTCGTAAGATTGACAATAGGGAGCTTACGAATCGACGACTTTCGCACGACGACGCCGTTGTATTGCGTGACATACCTACTGCGCATGCCTGTCTTGGCACTTGCCGGCGTCGAGCAAAAGTCAAAATTTGCAGCAAGCGCACCAACGTCGTCGTCTTTACTTAAAATCGTAAATTCATATTTCTAAATGACGGCGACGCAGGACTTTGACGTGGCCCAACGGCGTCGTCGTGCGAAAGTCGTCAATTCGTAAGCTCCCTAATGTTCACAAGGAGCTCTTTGAAATAAGGAGGATAAGCCAAAGGGATACTCCAAAGTCAGAAGCTAACACTGTGAAAAAAACGGTTAGTGGTCGATGCTCTTATATTTTGGGCTTACGGGTAAATGTTTAGCCAAAAGAATTTGTTAAAAGGAAATAAATACGTTTTGAAGTAAGTATACACATGGTTCTGATAAGAAAGACATTCAGATGAGACTTACCTCAAACCTACCCCGTTTGCATGGTTGGGCACACAATTTTAGAGACGTACGTAAAAACCAGCAAACTTATACAATCAAATGTCTGAATAATATCTGAACAAAGAGCAATTCAATTTTACAGGTGCCAAATCTTTCTGGGAATGTCAACGACATCGTTAACTTTTACCGCCAAAAGCTCAGTAGTGCCAAGCATGCAGGAGATAAAGCTAGTGAAGGAGCTGTGTGTAGTACTCTTGGTTTGTTTTTTCTGAGTCATGGCGATTACAAGAAAGCCATAGAATATAACGACCTTGCTCTTGATATTTTTAAAGAATTGGGCGACAAGAGACAGGAAGGATATGTGTATCATCGTCGTGGTGATGTTTTCCAAAAGCTCGGTGAATTCGAAAAAGCCATGGAGTACAAAAACCGTGCACTCAGTATAGCAATAGATCTGGGAGAAAAACCTTTGGAAGGTTACGCTTACTACGGTCTTGGCAATGCTTTTCGAGGTTTGTGTAGTTATGATAAAGCAATAGGCTTCTACAAGCGTTGTCTAAGTGTCGCCAAAGGTCTGTCTGACAAGACAATCAGATGGTCATTAGAAAGTATTGCCTATAGCAATCTCGGACATGCTTTTGACTTCCTTGGTGACTACAAACGAGCTGAAACTTACCACAGGCTTCACCTTAGCAATGCCAAAGAGAAGAGAGACAAGTCAGGAGAGGCAGAAGCGTACAGAGGTCTTGGCAACGTTTTTCAGGGCCTTGGGAATTTCAGAAAAGCCCAAGAGTATTACAGCTCAAGCCTTAGCATTGCCAAAGATGAACGAAACAAAGAAGCAATGGTACACTCATATGCCGGTCTAGTAAACGCTCTCCGCAACCTTGGAGATACAAAAAATGCACTAAAATACTCTAATCTGCATCTTAACTGCGCCAAAGAATTAGGAAACAGATATAGGGAAGGAGATGCGTATTGCGACCTTGGACATATTTATAAAAGTCTTGGAGACTTCAAGAAGTCCATAGAATACTTCAAACGCTACCTTGAAATTGCCAAAGATTTTGGAGATTCGGAAGGAGAAGGGGCCGCGTATGGTGGCATTGGCAATGCTTTTTACAGCCTCGGAGATTTCGAAAAGGCAGTTTACTATCACAACCAACATCGTGATATCGCTAAAAATATTGGAGATAAGGAAGGGGAGGCGTTTGCGCATGGCAATCTCGGCAACGTTTATCTCAGTCTTGGTGATTTGAAGAAGGCCAACTACTAATACTTACGCCGCCTCAGTATTGCAAAAGACCTGGGAGATAAGGCAGGGGAAGGACGTGTGTATGGCTATCTCGGCCGCACTTATCAACATATTGGCGATTACGACAAAGCCATGGTCTATAACAACCGGTGTCTCTGTATTGCCCAAGAACTTGGAAACAAGGCTGGGGAAGGGGTTGCCTGTGGCAATTTAGGCAGAGTTTCCCAAAGTATTGGTGACTACATGAAAGCCATAGATTGGCACAAACAACAGCTTAGAATTGGTAAAGAAATAGGAGACAAAGAAATGCTAGGCATAGCCTACTATAATATTGGACAATGCTTTGAGATGCTGAAACGTTTACCTGAAGCACTCGAAAGTTACCAAACAAGCGTTAAAGTGTTTAATGAAATGAGAAGTCTCCTCCAGTCTGAAGATCGGTGGAAGATTGGATTTCGGAACGAATATAACCATGCTTACACAGGTCTCTGGAGAGTTTTGTTAAAACAAGAAAAGATTGGTGAAGCTCTGGCTGCTGCCGAAGAAGGTCGGGCCCAGTCACTAGCTGATCTTATGACATCCCAGTATGGTTTAAAAGAATGTCAATACAAAGGAAAACCACTAGAAGAACAGGAATTTGGCATGTTGAACCACACTTTATCAAGTACCATATTCTTAGCTGTAGACGTGGTGGAAAACAAAGTAAATATCTGGGTAATTTCAAAAGAGAAACCCCTAATTCACCAAGAGAAGACACTTGGCCGTCATTGTACAAAGTTTTCAGCTGAAACATTACAGTCCTTGATTCAATTTGCCTACGAAAAGATTGGTGTTCGTGCTAAAGCTAACTGCGAAAATCGGTCTTTAGATGTGTTTCGCGAAAACTGCTCTGCTGTGGAGCGGTCATCCAAAAAGAGCTCACAGCCCATTCTCCAAGAAGATATTCATCCCTTGTCAGCTTTGTTCAGCTACGTGATTGCCCCGATATTAGATCTAATTGATGGCGATGAGCTAATAATTGTTCCGGATGGTCCATTATGGCTTGCTCCGTTTGCTGCATTACTGAATCCGTTTTCCAAATACCTGTATGAATCATTCAAAGTCAGAATAATTCCTTCACTAACAAGTTTGAAAATTATTGCTCATTGTCCAAAATTCCACAGCAGTAGTGGAGCTCTAGTTGTAGGAGATCCAGACATGAGTGAAGTTACCAACAGACAAGGAGATCAGATCCTGGAGCAGCTTCCTTTTGCCAGACAAGAAGCACAGATGATCGGACAGATTCTTAATACGGCACCTCTCACTGGAAAATTAGCCACCAAATGTGAAGTGCTAAAACAGATTAGTTCGGTTGCCGTAGTACACATTGCTGCACATGGACGCATGGAAACCGGAGAGATTGCGTTGAGCCCGAATCCTGAAAGGGAATCACAAACCCCTGCAGAAGAGGATTACATGTTGACAATGGCAGATGTGATGAGTGTGAAGCTGCGAGCCAAGCTAGTTGTACTTAGTTGCTGTCACAGTGGTCGGAGAGAGATCAAAGCTGAAGGCGTGGTCGGTATTGCACGTGCCTTTTTTTGGTGCCGGTGCTCGTTCTGTTCTGGTGTTCCTGTGGGCCATCGATGACGAAGCCACCTTGGAGTTCATGAAAAGCTTCTACCACAACCTTGTTAAAGGGCGAAGTGCAAGCGAGTCCCTTAACCGCGCAATGAAATGTCTCAGAGAATCCGAGAAGTTCGGCGATTTAAAACACTGGGCGCCTTTTACACTTATAGGCGATGACGTCACTCTCGACAAACAAGAAGAAATCAGGGTCTCATAAATAAATTAAGAAACTATGTCGCCATAAGACAGAGAGATGGTATGAAACAAAGTCTTATCGATCTTCCCACAACGTCATCTGACTGTGAGAAACGTAAATAAGAATTACATATCGCCTACCTAAAGTTACCCAGATAATGCCCTTTTGAGTAAAAGAAACGTTATGTCTTCTCTTCTGCGAAGAAACAAATCACGGCTGCGAGGGAGACTAGCAGTCTAAGCAAGTGGACAATTTATTTCAATAATAAACTGTAGCAAGGTCAATCTCATGTATCATGTTCTGTTTCATTTTTCGGACAAATGAAGTACTGTGGAACGTACAAAACAAAGAGCCAAGGGACTGGAAAAAATTTTCGCTTTCACGCGGTTTCGTTTTGTTGAAGTTCTTTTCCATGCATATATTTTACTATTACTGGGTAAAGAAAATCATTCGTTATACCGAGGACTTCGTTATATAGAGGTTCATTGTATCTATGTCCCACTATACAATTGTTCCCTAAAATTTGTAGAGAAAACTAATTACAAGGCTGAAATCTGTGAGTTTTTGTGCTACTATAGAAAGCAACGAGGCCTTTAAAATGTTAAAGGAGCAATGTCGCGACTGATATATGGTGTTTTCTCAGCACGCTAGTTTCAGCTGTAGTTTTAAGCAGTATGTGATTGTTATCGTGCAGCAATACAAACAGATAAATAATTAAAAAATAAACGTGAAAATTCTTTGCAATGGTACATCTAATTTGATCGGGTATAATTCACTTCCTTCCCTTAGGCATTGCAAAGACGTTTTAAAATAAGGTTCATAGTATACTTGGCAACGCAACGTAAGATAAGAACTAACATATTTCGAGATTTGCGCGTGGAATGCAGCTGAACATAAAAGAGTTGCTTATTTAATCCCTTAATTCAGTCTTTAAGTCTTCAAAAAGAAAGAGGAAAGAGATAAAAGGCCGTGCAATTTGTTGATGAAACAGTCAAATCTCTCAAGAAGGACCGCCCTTTGGTACCAGCAAGTGTCAGCCTTAGAGTCTCTTCTCTCTCTTTAGCCCTTTCTTAGTTACCCCTGATACAGGGTTGGAAATTTCTTTTTGAAAAATCCTACGAAATATATATAGTGCTTGTCGTTGTCATAGTAAAGCGCACAAAATCTGTTTTATCAGGTGAGGTACCACCATAAAGAGATTGAAAAGCTCAGGTTTTGAGCACTATCCAGTTGTTAGGGCGAAAATGGCGGGTGGTCAATGCCTTGGGACTCTGAAACTAGGCACAAATCGGTTGAATGAAAGGATTTCATATTGATTCCATTCCAACTTGGAAGGTAACTGATTGTTCTAAATTTTTGCGGCTTTCCTTGTTACCTTGGCATAGCGAAAGACCACAGTGAATGAAACAACAACCCTAGAGGGAAACCGTTTCTTATCTTCGCACCCGTCAAAAAATATCTGAACTGGATTCGCCAATTCCAAGCAATGACCCACAGTGGAGAGGTCTCCCCTCATTTTAACTCCTAGCCCTTTTATCTCGCCCAAATCATTCACTAACTTTATCCATGACACTGAAGCTGATAGCCGAAGTATAAGTAGAAGGGAGAAAGGGCTTTCCCAACCTCGTTGCCAGGGTTCTCTCCTGCGCGTCCCTATGGAGTGACGTAGGGATGGGTAGGAGAAAACCCTGGGAACGAGGTTAGGGCTTTCCTTTAGCGTTAATTTGCGACAAGCACCCTTAACAGAAAAAGAGCCGTGAAAGCGATCGCAGGGATAACAAGCTCTGATAATCTGAAATCTGTAGACTTTCCTTTCGTAGCCCAACCCCTCCTCTCATCGTTATTAGCCAATTAGAGCCACCATAAAACAACTCGACGCAGCCCCAAAATGATTGTGTTTATGGTCTAGTACATTGATCTTAGAAACACTTGTCTCCACATTGAAGAAAATATTCTTTTTCAATGATGAAAGACCCCAAACCACTGATTTGAAGAAACCGCAAATGAACTTATAATTTTTAAGGCTGAATACGGAGCAAAAATACTGGGAAGACATTTTTATCCGGAAGATTAACTGACCTGTAAAGGAAACCGGAAGATTCGTCAGGGATATGGTGGAGTTGTCACATATGCGATCTGCCCGTTCTGAATAAAAGTCTCTATATCCCCAGCAATCAAATGGCGGGAAATGCAAATTGTTTGGGAGGAATCAGTCACTTCTGAATGAAAAATATTTTCCCTAGTTTTACCAAACCTTTAACTTGCGGTTTTAGAAAAGAATACGGCAGTGTTCGTTCCCGGTTTTTTACAACTAGAAATTCTCAAGTCGTGGAAAAGCTAGCCTCCTAGGCGCGTCGAAGCCCTGAAACTGAGAAAAACATGGGACGCTAAACGGTAAGACGTGAGATCTCTCTTTGTGAACTTTCTTCCATGAAAATTTTGTCGTCCGGTTAATGGAGAATACAGTCTTGCGCGAAGCGCGAGAAACCTGCGTGGAGCGCGGGATGAGGGGAAGAGAGAAAACTTAGTGAGGCCGGAAGTTGTTAAAGTAGCGATTGAATTTGTCCTGTGTGGTTGTGTCCTTAGTTCTTGTGAGGAATGAGTTTTATAAAACATAGCTTGTGTACAGACGCCCCCTCCCCTCAGAAACATTAAAATATAACACAGAGAAATTTGATGCTGGTCACTCTTAGGGCCGTAAAAGGTTTTAGCCGAAAATGAACCAATGAACCAGTCAAAATCCTTTCACTCAGCTTGTTCTTATACTCACCTTATTTTCGCCGCCTTCTTTCGTGAGGAAGAGCAAGGAAGAAGTAAATGTTGAAAAAGGAAAGTCTTATTTTGGGGGGGCGAGGGGTATTTTAATGAATTTTAGTGTTATGTATTACATTTTTTTACACACTTACTCACGAACACGTAGGAAAAATGCCAAAAAAGGAAAAGAAAGCTAAACATAGATACATCGCAGACTCACACATAATTACATACTGACAAAAAAGAAAGAAAGAAACACACCCCAGTACCTTCTTCTCTACTTACATGAAAAAAATTAATAAAAATTAATAATAAATTAAGTAAGCGGCGACAGGATCGTATGCTAATGAGATTTTAATTATATTTTGCTCCATTTAAATTAAAGTCTTACGAAAACAAGATGGATGAATTTAGGTTTCTGGGAAACTGTTCACCTATGCCTTCCCTAAGGCTACTTTGAGTTGGTGGTTTCCTATAAAACCTAACTTTATACAATATACCTCAATGTACCTCACGGTACCATTGTTGGCCCCTGCTCTGTGATATTTATCAGAGTGAGTGACCTTCCTGACGT